TTTATCCCACCGTCAAATTCGCTAATCTTGGTGGAATGGATGAAATTTTATGGGTTAGCATACTGCGGCATAATATTTCATTATAGTGAAATCAATTGCTGCTTTTAAAAATGCTCCAGAATTAATCACAATAATATGCCGTTATACGTTTTAGGAGGTTTGCTCTTTGCTACATCACATTTTGCATCCTGAAATATTTGAGCATTTTCACTGTGAAATTCCATGTGGGTTTCTACTACATGGACCCCCAGGTTGTGGCAAAACATTGCTTGCAAATGCAATTGCTGGAGTATGTACTTAAAATTGACATCAACTAATAAATAAGCTAGCGTAACTATCGGATGCCTTCCATTTAGGAACTTGAATTTCCATTAATTAAGCTAACTGCTACAGAAATTGTATCTGGTGTCTCTGGAGAATCTGAAAAGAAAATAAGGGATGTGTTCAATGTTGCAAAGGTAATATCGAATTGCCTTTTAATATTCGTAATATTGGTTATACATCGATACCAACTCTTACCATGTTTGAATTATGTAGGCAAATTCTCCTTGTATGTTATTTCTTGACGAGATTGGTTATACATCGATACTAACTCTTACCATCTTTGAATTATGTAGGCAAATTCTCCTTGTATATTATTTCTTGACGAGATTGATTCTATAACGCAAAAGAGAGAACTTGCTCAGCGCGAAATGGAAAAGCGTATTGTGACGCAACTGCTTTCTTGCATGGATGGTAAGTTCCAATATAGGAGTTTAGATATTTCTAATCTTTGAGGACCGAATGCGTAGTTGTATAGTACTTTCGTGTTTCTTTTCGCAGACTTATGCTCAAACACAAGAAATCGCGTTCTTGTCATTGGTGCGACAAACCGGCCGGATACCTTAGATCCAGCCTTAAGACGCGCTGGGCGTTTCGATAAAGAAATATCTGTTGGCATTCCAGATGAAAAATGCAGAAAAAGGTGAGAAAATGCTATATACTTGTATACGCGTATTTATTAATACTGTGCCGGTCCGTGCGCAATACACTAATGTCCTAATGATCTTTGGTACAATTTCGAATATTTATTGTATATATACGTTAGTTAAGATTCGCATGCATTACATTATTAGAATATTAGAGGTGTTATGTAGCAAAGCACGTCTTGAAAATGACTTCG